TATTTTTCAGTGTTATGAAATCTATTCATGTTTATATTAAAATGTGCTTCCAAATTCCAAAATTCCAGTTAATTAAATACTTGTCAAATTATGCCATTTGACTATTTTCTTTTATTTATTGGAACTGTATGGATAAAAACAAAAGATAGGATTATTCATAATAAATAAATCCGGTTTCAGTTAGATGAGCCACATGTAAAGACACTGAAAACAGCCAAAATATGAATACCTGTGACACTGTGAACACACATCAACTGAATTCTGAATTAATATGGCAATTTGCGATGTTGTCTGGCAATCGGTTTTCAAAGTAATCAATATAATCAACAAAGCCTGCTCAACTGAACTGAAAAGTAAACAATAGTTTTCTGCTTGGTGATTATTAAAATCATGTCACAGATATTCTGCAGTATATAATATAGCAGAATCTTTTGTTGGTGTCCAAGAGTGTAAACAATGAATTTAACTATCCCTTTTGTAGGAAGATCTGCATTTAATGTTGCATGATTGAACAAGGCAGTCATGATTGGCACTGAAGCTTGTAAAGATGACAGCTGTCTGCGTGACCCAAACTGACGGGAGCAGATGAACCACAATGACTTTCAGATTTTTGTGCAAAAAAAAGTAGCAGACAGAAATCCAGCTCTTTGAAGGCCTGTTCCTGGTGAAATGTTACAAGGTGACACCTCCATGTCTGGGCTCTGCGAGGTGGACAGAGATGTTTCAGCCAATTAGGGAACAGCCTGCTCTTGTCCCAGTGCTAAAATGGCAAATCTGCTAATATCTACAGTGAGGCCGAGTTCACAGTCAGTGTCAGCTGTCAGACCAGATTTCACACTACCATTGCACCTGCGTTTGTGTATGAATCATTGGTTAGTGTTATGAGTAATGTGCATGTATTAAATGTGTTTGTAATAGAATACAATTTGATACTCATGTCATATGTTGTTTTTGTATAGATTTACTATTTTATTTGGCGAAGTAAAGGGGGAACGAGTGATCATGACTCAATTCTCTTTTTTTTATGAGAATATTTTTTCTCACTGTTTTTCACGAGAGTGTGTTTGCTCAAGGTTGTGATATAATGTGGAAGTTGCCAGAAACTCTAGACAGGAGAGTATATTAAGTCCTATACCTGGCCTGGAGATTGTTCCTTAATATAAGAGTGAGGAAGAGACAGATAAATAGAAAGAGAAAGGGTTCTAGCAGCAGATTCACTAAAGGAATCGTGAAAACAACGCCAAAATGGCAACAAATGATCTGCTAAACAGCATTTTCATTGCGCTATTCTCCAATTTGCAGGTCATATTTTACTGTGTACCACTGGAACCCTTCACCACTGTGATTCAGATACTTGAACTGACTCTTAAAAATGCTAAAAATGTGCTTGACTTCATGGCACGTCTAACGTTCGTCTCCATCCGATCATCATTTCATGAATTACTGCTGCGATGATCAATAGAAAGCATCCCTTTTAAATGAACTACTGTTTACCACTTGTGGATGCTATGTAAATTGTGGCAGAGAAATGGTTGCAAATTATAAAACAATCATTTGGTAACAAAAAGTCTAATTTACATAAAGTATATAATTTATGTATATTACAAATTACATTCAAATATGAAGTGTTTTTGTGCTGAAAAGAATGACAGTTACTTAATTGAAATATTTTTTTTAGTGCATTTAGCATCTAGTTAAAAACTTGATCACGGTTGGTTAGTGAGTAAGATGCAGGATTTTGCACTAAAATAATGTGAGCAGAAGTGGTGCAACTTGAAAGCTCATAGAGAATGAGAGTAAAGGAGGAGCAGCATGGTTAACAGGGCGTTTTTTTTTTTTTTTTTTTGTCCTTTTAATTTCTTTGTTTGATCAATCGCTCATTTGGTGTGATCCCACCAGGCCAGCACCAATAAACACGTCCAGTTTTAGATTTTTTACAGAGGCTTAACCATGAAAAAGAGAACTAATAAAAACCTTATGCTGTGTGCAGTTCACAGCATTTTATTGTCTTTAAAATGCCATGCACATCGGCCTTAGTTTCCACTATAGTGCCTTTATATCCTCTGATATAGGCTCTTTACCCTGCACGCATTGATGGGATTCCTTTTAAGGTCTATTAACATTAGGATTTTTAGTAGCAACGTAAAACCCTTTGAGGTCTGTTATCTCAGCTGGTGAATCTCAGAGTAGTTGAGATGCAGATATCAAAGGGACCGGCACTATAGAAGATGCAAGATGCTGCATTTCTCATGAATTAAGATTCAGAATAGCTACCTCTGCTAAAGGTTGATAAAAAGTATCTTAATGGGCTTTTTTATATCCTAGTGAAAAGACATGTAAGTCAATAATATGCTAAAGGGTCTATCCTTACACATCACATGCAGACAAACCTCTGTTCTTCCACATTGATTAATCCGTCAGTGTTTGATCATCAGCACACAACAGAATTGATTTAATGGACTAGAGGCTGGAGGTCAATTAGAGCATCGCATCACCTCCAATTCTCATTAATCCCAACACAACTCAGGGTTAAAGTGTGTGTTTGTGCGTTGCAGTTCATGCCACATGAGAAACTGTACTTAATACAACAAGGACTGAACAACAAAAATTAGGTTTTAAAAATCAGAGAATCCTTTTGCATCTCTATACTAAATGTTTCCATTGGATGGTTCAAATATTCTTTTGTTCTTTCTTATCTGTCAATTATTCATGAGACAGATGTTTCATTGAAAGTGAAAATTATCTTCTGAAGGGCAAAATCTAAGGCATCATGGATATGAGAATATCCAAAGCTAATTATGAGTAGAGCATTTAGACATATACTTTAATGTGCCTTATCAATCATATCAGTCATGGAATGGTTTTATACCATAAACATCTCATTCTGTCAAAACCATCATTGTGTTTCCAGGCTGTAAAAGAGAGAGAGAGCAGTGCTTTCTGGAGTAGCACTTAATTAGAAAATGAGGCTGACCTGATGGATTTTTATTTTAAACATGGAATTTAGCATATTTCTATGAGACTTGAATGTCTAATAGTAAGCTTAGTGGAAAATAAATCCAAGATGGCAAGGCAGAGATAAATGATTTTAAATAATGAATTTCATTCTCTGAAAAGTATAGATAAATAGTGCAGCGCATACTTAAAATTATATTTCTTTAAATTAAATTATATATTGCTGTGAATTTTTATACTTTTTAGAGAGGTTCATTGTTAGCTTAGCAACATGCAAGCTTCAAATACTATTGAAATTATTTCACTCTGTATCAGTGTGTATTTCACTCTGGATCAGTGTATTGTAGTGCTTTCCAAAGTTCCATAACCGGTAGGTGCTGCCTTCGTTTTTGCCTTCCACTACACTGCTTTTCCATTATTTGTCCATGTAAGCCTGCGCCAGATAGATGTGTTTGACCATTGTGCTTTTAAAAAAAAAATTACTTTTAAAAAACGCACCTCAAGACCTTGCATTTTTTCCATTCCACTAGTCTGTGTGTCATGTTTTTAAATGCAACAACCCACTTAGAAGGCAGTTTCTTATGTAGACAGTCTGCAGCGAGGCAGCTCTCTACGTAGGTTTTGTAACAGATCTGTGGTATTATTATGCTTTTTTAGAATGAAACAGCACTCACATTCTGTCGGAATCTGAAGACAAGGCAAATTGTGTCTATTTTTTTACTTCATTCTCTCTAAGTGCATTTTTCTCTCTTATTTGCAGTACATTTTATATGTATGAAAATTTGTGATGTCGCCACAAAATTAATCTCAACTTTAGAATCTCTCTTCATGATAATGAATTGACAAACTATGTGCTAATATCATTTCAGCAATCTGTTTATGAATTGAAGTAGTATACTGAATTAACAGTTTTTAAATGAATTTGCATGTCTGTTCATTGAAATCTGAGTTTGATAATTTGTCATATCAATGTTGTTTTTGGAAGGTGAAGGTTTTAATGCGAGTATACACTGACATTTTTGTGGTTCCTATAGTGTGTGTATATACTCTGAAAAGCACTCTTCTGTGAAGCTCCCTTGAAGCAGGCATCATTAGTGTGTTTTGCTGTGTAAAGTCAGCAACCTCTGTTGGGAGTTAGCTTGCTAACGTCTCACAGATACAGTTTTTTTCCCTGTCAGTGCTTGTCACTATGCAGCAGAGGGGAACTGTCCTCCTCTTGGCACTCCCTTCACACCACCAACAAAATCTTGGTATAGGTTGTGCATGCATGTGATCACAAAAATAAAAGAGTTTGGGAAAAACCTAAGGTGCTTTGAGTTTGTGACACACCAGTGATAGCCCATTTCCATATTTTGGCTAATACCAATTAAAGACAGCAGTGTGTTTTTTTTCCTTACTTTTATGTGTGATTGTATTTTATTACCAGAGCAAATTAAACACCTATGTCACCTGTGTACTGTGGAGAGAGGGGGTGCAGTGGGTTACATTTTCATTGCCTTTCATGAGTCAAGACAAATATGGCTTTCTCTTAAATTCCCCTGCTGAGTAAAGTCAAAAGTGTTTGGCTGTGATCATGTGGCTTTCCATTCATGTCTGCTGAACAAATTCAGGCGCCACTATCACTTTTATTGTTTTGTGATTGTCTTTTGACTAGACTTGCTGAATTTGTTTACTTTGTTTCGATTTTTTTTTTCTCTGCCCTAAAGGGATGAAGTTATATATAGACAGGCATCCATCGATGTGGTCTGTGCCTTTTCCAAGGAGCCTTTTATGTGGGAAATTGATTGACTGTACAGTCTCTATTAACAGAAGCGTTAGAGATATTTTTGTATCTTTTTTTTTAATCAAATGTGTCGTAAGGCTGTTTCGGATTGTTCTGCCCCAATTGAACCCCAGGTTAGACCTGGATTGATGTTTATTTTTTCCTCCTGGATAAGCCTTCTTTATGGTCTTTATCCAAGCCAAACAAATGCTGTTTTCATGGAAAGCCTTAGGTTTTCAGAACTTCTTATCTCTCATTATCATCTGCCTGTTTTGTCTTACAGAGGCTGAAAGAGTTGAAGCAGAGAGAATTTGCACGCAATGTCTCCTCCAAGTCCTGGAAAGATGAGAAAAAGCAGAAAAGAGCTCTGAAACGACTGCACCAGCTTGCACAACTCAAACAGCAAAGAGACAGGTAAATCATAATATATTTAATCTCAATGTGATAATGTACTGTAAATGCATTCTTTATATAACGCATGCACTATATATTAGATTTAAAGAGATTTGAGATCTTTCAGCACTGCCTAATTATAACACTGTCTTCTATTCTTGCCAACAGTGATGACAGGAAATGTCCAAAGTTAAGGTCTACAAACAAAGATAAGGATCCCGTTCAAATCCTCTCTGCTGGCAGTAGCAAGTTTGACACAAAACCAACAGCATCCTTGGTTCAAAACTCAAATCCTATCTCTACAAACACCTCATTGAAGGGCTTGTCCTCCACTCGTGTGCCCACACATCAGCAGCCATGCCACGAAAAACACCCCTTACCGACAAAATCCTCTGCAGTACACCGGGGCCCTAGGGCAGGAGTCTCATTCTGTTTCTCTAGACGAGCTCAACTAAAGCTTGACTCCTGTGCATCTGTGTTTAGTGATGGACTTGAGGAGGCCAGTGACTATCAAGAGCTCCAGCGCCACAAGCACAGACTCGCCCTGGAAGCCCTTTGGTCTAGCTCATGCTCACCCAGAACCCCAAATAATGATGACCATGATCTGTCCCATGATCCACTGACTCTGGGCTGGGTGGATGAAGACTCTCAAACACCTCAAACGGAAGCACAAGCAAAACATGTGGAGAGCCCTGAAATTCAGGCAAACTACAGCACAAGTCACCCAGAGAAGCTTGGGTGTCCTGACACACACAGTCCTGGAGCAAACTGGAAGCCAGCTGGTTCAGAGGACAGATTGCATGATGGGGGGCAGAGACCCAGGGCAGAGGGGGCTTATGCAGGATCAGAGGGGAGAGAATGCCTCAAGTGCCCCGGCCCTACTGTTTACACAGATGGACAGGGTACCATGGCCCAAGGCCAACTCCAAATACTCAAAGGCTCACACCACCATACACAGAAAATCTGCGAACAGGGTACTATGCAGAATGGGAAGGACTGTATATCAGAAAAAGAGACAGAGGAGTATAAAATACACAGAGTGTGCAAGGATGAAAATATAGGTTCTTTCCTTAATGTAGTCAGCAAGGACGGAAGTGTGACAAAATGGCCTTTTGAGCTGGTGCAGTACACTTCCGACAAGCCACACGTATCTTACAGCTGTAACCCTCTCTACTATTATTTAAAACACAAGGAGGGCAGAGACAAAAGCACAAAAGGGACAGATCTTGCTGTTGTTGACAAGCTCACAGGCCAGAATGACAGAGCTAGGCCACAAACACAGGATGTTCCAGGAGATAAATTAGGCATTTTTAAACCAAAGAAACCGAAACACAGGATAAAGGGGAAAAATCGTTGGCATAAATTAGATGCTGCCAAGATCCGGCAAGCGGGATGCGCATTCAAAACCTGCTCACAGACAGAAGCTGGAGGACACTTTGAATTCCAATGCACTCCAACCGGCACGTCACAATACAAGCAAGAATGCACTGAGAGGAGGCACAAGCTGGGGAAGAGGAAAAGATCAGTGAGAGATGAGACTTCAAATGAAAGTGACACCCCAGAGCACAGCCTCAAAAGCATCGTTGTAAGCTCGCTTTCTGCCCCGGCACGTAAAAGGAAGAAATGTCAAACGATGAGGGGGCTTGTGTCAGCGCTGCGCTTGGTAAGGCGGAGGCCTTTGTCATATTCTGTTCACAACACGACAGGAAGAGAGGATAATTATCGCTGGTATGACAACACCTATGAGTCAAAGAGGGATGCTGCCTCAACTCCCAACAGTGACAAATCTGGGTCGTGGAGTGGCCTGTCAGACTTGACCTCAGATGGAGAATGGCCTGTGTACCACATGGGTAAACGCTCCACCTCACCAAGATCAAACTATCTATACCCTTTGAGAAAGGAGCACAGTCAGCCCAGGTCTTGCGTTAGAAGTTCCTCTTACATTGTTCCTCACTACAGTTATAGCCCATGCAGAGATTTCAGACATACAGGAGACAGTTGGGATTACGCAGACTCTTACATCTACAATAAACGGAAATATTCAATGGTTTATAACAGCCCGGATCAGCATGAGAGATACAGCATCAGAAGACACAAAAAAATAGCTGAGGAGCATAAACAGAGAGAGCATAGAACTCAAAATACAGGCAGGCAGTTGTTTTATAGAGTCTATGACAGTCCTGAACCTCAAGAGGATGTCAGGGATTGGTGGTATGAAAGACTTAGCCCTGTAGGTAGGAGGTACCGGGAGAGGGAAGAATGTCCTTGGTCAAGTCCAGAAAGAAGTGAAGACAGGTGGTATAACAAGCCAGTGTCCATTCGTAGCCCCAGTTCCTCTAGTAGCATTAGCATCTCTGATCTTAATGGGGACTGGTTGTCTAATTCCCATATTAGGCCATCTCCAACTGTACAGAGCCAGAAACATTGCAGTCATTCTGGGTGGCCATCCAAGAGATTGGTCAAGACCAAATCATCTCCTCTTAGAAAGAGGAGTCACTCACCCCCATTAGCTACAAGTAACAATGTAGCTCAGCCTAATTCCTTACAATCAAGTATAGGGAAGGAAGATGGTACTCATAAATCTAACCCAATTCCAAAAGACCAGTTGGTTGAGAAGGATCCTAAAGTAAAGAAAGCAAATGTCACCCTCTCACTTCCACTAATTGGTAAATTACCCTCTATTAAGAAAGGGGCAAGAAAAATAGGGATAAATAAAGATGCAAGTGCCAGTATTAGTAACCAGGTTCCAACATCTTCGTCTGTCCCATCAAATCAACAAGTTATACCTCAAATTGACAGTAAGACTTCAGAACACTTACAACAAACACATGGGCAAAATTACAGCGCATCCCATGCCTGTCTTGAAATTGCCAAGGAGGATAGATCAACAGAAATCTGTTCTGCTTTAGCGCTGGGTCCAGACAAGACTTTGTCGCATAAACTTAACATCAGAGACCAAGCAGACAATGCAGGAATTGCAGGGATTCACTGTCCAAAATGCACCACCCCTCCCCTTTCTGAGCAACCAATCACCTTCACCAATGATGAGATTGAGAAGTACAAATTGCTTCAGCTCCAGGCCCAGCAGCACATGCAGCAGCAGCAGCACCTTCAAGAGCAAGTATCTGTGGACATGAGCCATTTACCAGTACCAACTGCAGAGCCACCTGACCAGACTACACTTTCAGCCTGTCTACCATACAACATACTCCAGCCCTCTTCTCCACCCTCTTCTATTGCTCCTCACTCTTCGCCTGTTGCCCTGCTATCACCCCTTCATCCCACTCTCTCTCAGCCCCAATTTGCCCGTCCAATTCCTGCTGCCTTCTTTTCAGTGCCGCCAGCTACTATGTTGGCAGCTCAACCCCTCCACCTGATCCCAGCCTCATCTTTCCACCCAGTTCACCCTCACCATCATGTTCCTGGGTTGACTCTCCACCCCCTTCCTCCCACTTCTCTGCTCCCAACGATGCTCAGTCCAATGCCCATGGCTGCCGCTGCTGCTGCTGCTGTTGCTGCTGCTGCCAGCACTCTGCAGATCCACCCCCTACTACACCCTCTGTTCCACAGCCAGGACCTTCAGCGCCACCCTGGACCAACCAGCTAGTTCTGGTCAGAATGAGAGGGCAAATGAGAATAAGAAAGAATATAGTTCTGACATGAAATATCCTGCAAGACCCATCCAATTGTGCTGTGAACTTTCTGATATTTAGGTTCTCCTCTCAGCCAAAGTTCCTGTTGTGTAGTGATTTTTTTTTTTTAATCTCTGTGTTGCAGTGTCAACTCAAAGATAGCAAGACTTTTTACTTTGTTGTTTACCATTACATTCTTTATACAGCCATCGTCTCCCCACATTAACACACAAATGAACCTCTCCTGTTGTTTACCATTCCATTCTTTATACAGCCATCGTCTCCCCGCATTAACACACAGATGAACCTCTCCTGCCCCACCGCACTGTGATTTATAAGCAGTTGAGCCCATTCAGCAGTTGGCTGAAATTGAGCATAACCTGAAGTCAAATTAGAATGTTAATGCCTTTTTCAATTAGTAATAAGTATAATTAGCATATTTTTATAGTTACCCAGCAAGTATTCAAAGGGTTTTATTTATGAAGAACTAGGGGAAATATCCTTGAGCAAAGTTAAACTGACTAAGCAAAATGTATATGAAACTTCAGAATGATTCAGAATAAAATTCAGATTTTGTTTTCATTCAAATGTTGTTGTTTTTTAATATGCAAATTGACATGATTATTTGGTGCAGAAATACAGCATGTGTTTGAGCTATTGCATCTCTTAATGGATTTAGCAGTGTTCACTACTTTGGGTGAAGACATCCCTGTTTTATTTGTTTTCATTTTTTTCTGTGTTGTTAGTAGGGTACAGTGAGTTTGGACTTGCTCAGCTGTAGTGTGGACATGCAATAATGATTTTTTTTTTTCAATCTATTTAAAGTGTAAAATCTTGAATTGTATTTATGTATTCATACTTTGTAATGTAAGTAATAACAAATAACAGGCACTTGATTGTTCATACATGTTTAAGATGCTTTTTATTCACTCTTATTTTGGTAGAGCCAAACATACTTTCATCTGTAAGATAATGTCATGGGAATATTAATAAATTAAATGTAATTCCAAGAAATGACAGCTTTGTCATTACTAGTGTCTTTGAGGTCTAGATTTTGACTTTAGGCTTTTAAAACTCAGGACTTTTTAGACTTTGGAAGACAGGGAGCAGCGATTGGCATTTTGCCTGGAGGAGGATTGTGGCTGAACTGGTATTTACCCACCTAAAAAAAAAAAAAAAAAAAAAAAGGCATAATACATGTCAAATTCAGTGAATGTTAACACACCTTCATTTCAAATGAGCAGTGCTTCACTGCTCAGATCTGAGGGACTGGGATTTTGTGTTAATGATGCTTCTCATTGCCAGCAGTGGCCCAATAACACAACTGCGCATTTGCACTAATTAACTCTCTCAGGTACAAGTTGTCTGCTCTGGCAAGGAGGAGCTCTGCTCTGCAGTCTCTCACTGGCACTAAACGGATTGGTGATTCATATCTCTAAACTCTAACTCAAACTGTGTTGGGCCTGTTTTTTAATAAATACAGAATGATGACGGCAAATTTGTGTCCTGCTAGATAGGTATCGAGTGCAAATGCAGTAAATTCTTGTGTAAAATGATTCTGTGAAGCTGATTAGATGTGTTGTATTCGGTAACATTCATTGTTTATTGAGTGGAATGGTTTTCTCTTTTTGAGTGCACTTCATGTTGGAAATGCAGGGTAATAACAAAAAGTTCCAGATTATGGTCTAGAGTTGATTATAAAACACAAAGTATCCTATAGAATTCATAGAATTGCAACCTTCATGTCTCTTGCAAGCATGTCTGGTTGCTTCTAATTCAACTGGAAAGTACAAACATAAAAATAAAATGTCTGCTGCCTCTCTGACAGCCTGGTTTGTGCCTTACTGGATCAGAGGTGAGTTGAGAGCCTCCTAAAGATTTTGAGAGGCTCAAATTTATTTATTATTTTTTTGGTGACAATCTCGACGAGGATCCATGCAGATATCCAGTAAGCCAGGCTACCTTTAGGGAGAGCCATAAGGGGAAGCAGTGTGTGCAATGGTTGCCCTCCCATGCCCCAAATACAGCCTCTCTGCTGGCAGACCTGTTGCCAAGTGCTCATACTCCACAGGACAGCAGATCAAACAGACTATGAACTAGAGAGTGGGGATAATTAGCAGATGTTACAGAATAAACTCACTCTTCAGCCGCTTTCTCTACACAACCAACCAAACGTCCTGATTAATACAACATTTTCACACTAAAAAGAAAGAAATATGATAAATAGGGAGTGATGACACATGAAAAATAAGATAAGAGATGCACTGATCAGAGATGTAGTGAAAGACAAGAGGAATCGAGAAGCTTCAAGCATTTACATCGAAGTCGAGTGTATTTGATGTAAGCCATGACATGCACTATATTAGTTCTTCTGATATGACCAAAAAAAAAATCCATATTCCATATCACTAAGCCTCGGAGCCAATTATAATCACAGACGAGTTATGTAATGTAAAACTTTTTTTGCACTTTTTCTGGAGCTAATGGAGCCAAACTTTTGCCTCATTATTCATTTCTTCTACAGTAACTATGAGGCAGTAAGACAGAAAACACTACACACCCCTCATAGTCTAGTGCCCTGCCAGCCCCTTATTTAATATGCCACTGAAGTAGGGAGCCACTGTTTGCCGCTCATCGCCTGTGGGGTCCACTCAGAGTCTGTTTAGCATGTATCAAAGCTGTAGGACATCACTATCTCCGCTGCTAAATGCCCAGTATGGAGGAGACAGTGTACATATCTTCCTTGCTCATTCTTCCATTCCTAGCTTGCACCCTCTGGTGATGGCATCTCACTGACACCACCCACCACAATCACTGAGAAATATTATCTATTCAGAGCAGCATTAAGCCACATTCTTATTACTACAAATTATTTTTGAGCTATTAATATGATTCATTGATTTAATTATTTTAAAGAACATTTAGACATTTCCTCATCATGTCCAGACAGACAGAAAGATTTGACCAATGAAGTGGACTTCCTGCAGGTTTTAGAGGGGTAATAAGCAAAGTGTTTCCTCTGCTGTTATTGCTCACATTGTAATTGTGCACTGAGGGTGGGAATGAATTCACCAAGAATGAATTGGACATGCTAATATAGCACTATTTATTGGCACGTGCTGTCTGCAATACTGCAAGATTTGGGAAAATGCAGTAGAAGAGTCATGAAAAAATGACAAATAAAATATTTCTCAGCACATTTAGTGCCTGGTGAAACTGCACTGTAAAACATGACATGAGCAATAAGTTATGACAACATATGTATTAATAGGTTAAGCAATTTTCAACTTTTTTTATACGTTATACAAGATTCAACTCATTTTTTAATGTCAGTTTAATTTAATTTCAGTTGGAATGACTTAAACATCCAAGTTGATTGCGGAGTACTTTTTTTTTACAGTATAGTTATTGACTCATCAATCATGACGTAATTTGTTTTTTTTCAGAAATTAGAAATTAAAAAATCTGAAATTAATTGTTCTTAGAATAGCAGTTCTTTGTTTAAGAGTAAAATAAAGTTTGTGGAGACTTTAACTTAAAAATTCTATCTCATTCTTTTTAGTGAATCGGTTTGTCATAAACAGATCGATTGTAGATATGTAGAGTTGGAAAATTGTATTCTTTTAAGTAAATCAGTTCATCCTATACATTCCTCTCGCACATAGCCTATGTAGCATTGGAAAATGTGATTCATTGTGAATAGGTTCCTTCAGATAAATAGATCAGAGAAAAGAGTTTAGATCTTTCCTTATAGATGGATATTTATCTGAAGAAGTTTATTCAAGTGTGCTATATTTCGTATAGACTAAAAATAAGAAAGTATACTTTCACTTAAGTGTACTTAAGTAATAAAATGAACTTGAAGTATACTTGTTTGTAAGGAGTGTCGTAACACACAATGTTACTCTACAGATTCATACCTAACTCAAAAAACATTAATTTTGATTTTATGTTTTCATATTTAAGCCAAAGCCCATCTGTTATAGGCTCAGAATAAGCCAGTCAAAACCCATAATGCTAGCCTTACAGCAAAACGGTGGAGAGATTCTACAGCCTCGGTGTGGGTAATCATCTTCTTCCCTGGCATATTTAAACTTAGATCAGTTAGAGCCTGTTTTTGATCCGGTTAAATGGCTTCACCCACCTGTGGAGCAGCACTCATCTGATTATTCCTCTTTTCCTTTACGTAAACCGTTTCTTCTGGCTCCCTCTTCATCATCCCTCAGGTGCTTGACTGAGCCAGTGACAAAGAGTGAAATAAGTGTGTGTGTGTATTCATGCGTAGTTGTCTAGTATTTCTGCTCCAATCCCCTTGATTTGAAGTCCCTTCCTTTTCATTTCAAATACAATCCATGGCTCTATTGGGCCGAAACTAATTTCATATTGATTCAAGTTGTGCATGTAAATCTGAGCACATCATGTATATTTTTAATTTCTTGAGGTTGATGTAAGGTCCGACCTCAGTAATGCCATTGATAAAGTTTTTTTTTTTTTCAGATCAAATTACTCACATTTTGATTCTGTTGTCCTCGCCCCCTCCTTCTCTGTTACTCTCTCGCTCTCTTTCTCGCTCGCTCTCTCTCTGTCTGTCTTTCCTCTGCTAGGAAAACATTAAATGAAATTGTATACTTTTGAAAAGCTTAATTTGATTGCTTCCTAGTACAAAGTGAATGCTGCAGTCAACAGTAATTTCTAGATTCACAAAAGATGATTAATTGAAACAGAGTAAGCTGTGTGATTTCACTCCAGCACTTTTATGCACTACCTCCTTTTATGTTCCAGTCTCGTTCCCAGACTCATATACATTTTTTCTACAAAATGATGATGCTTTTCAATATAAATGTAGGCCTATACCTATTTTATCTCAAGGTTGATAGCATGAACGAATAATAATTCATAATAATGAAAAAAAAAAAAGATTTGTCATGGCTGTGAGGTCAGATGTAAAATGAAATCAAATGAAATACAGAACAAAATGAAATAAAAATGCGTATAGAACATTATTTAATCAAACTATCTAGAACATAATCCGCTATA